GCTCACCAGTCACATGGATCAGTCCTACTATGGAGGTAGAGAGTGGGACTGGAGTATTTCTCCCAAATGGTGGTGGAAGAGTATTCCCAGCTAACATTTATATAGCAAGTGAAAGAGTATGTGTATATATACAGTATGTATATATATGTGTGCGTGTGTGTGTATATATATATATATATATATATATATATATAGCAAGTGAGAAAGTATGTGTGTGTATATATATATACACGTATATGTGTATGTCTATAATGTGATTTTAACTATATATGTACAACACACTTCTGCACGCACGCCCTCAAACTGTTTGAACCTATGTATGGAAAAAGATGGAAGGGGCCTCCCTGGTGGCTTAAGGGGTTAAGATGTAGCACTGTGAAACTATCTGCAGCCACTGCAGCACAAGTTTGATCCCTGGGCAGGGAACTACCCACATGGCACAGCAGACCTCTCCTGTCTCACCCACTACTCCCTTAGCAGTGTATTTCAGTAGATCTGCCTGTTTTGTTCCCCGCTCTGTCCCTGCTCAATCCTCTTAGCCCCCGCACCTCTGGCCTATATCCCAGTTCTTGTATGCATATGTAAATAAATCTTTAAAAAAAGAAGATGGAAGACTAAAAGAAAATCCACCAAAATAATAATGCTAATCTTTTGGTTATGGAACTATGGATACCTTTTTTCTTCATGTTTCAATATTTTGCAAAGTGCTTATAATTAATATGAATTGCTCTTAATAAAAAGATATACTTACTAAAATTTTAACAGCAAATTATTTTTATTATTATAATTTATTTATTTATATATATTTTACATCATTGTTCATTTTTGTACAATGTTTGCTTTCTCCTCTCAGGTGTAATCCCCATAGAATTCCTACTACCAATTCACTTGTGCACCATCACCATAGTCCCTTGTGCTCTTCCTTCCCATGTTTTGATCCTTCTCCCTCCCCCTCCCCTGCAGAATGTCTCTGATTTATAGATGCCTGTTAATTTTGGTCTTGGGTTTTGTTGTTATTATTTTTTCCCCTATCACTTATTGGGTTCCCCTACATTCCTCCTATAAGTGAAACCATCTGATATTTTTCTTTTTCCTTCTGAATTATTTCACTGAGCATGATCCCTTCTAGTGCCATTCTTGTTGCTGTGAATGGCATTAGTTTATCTTTTTTGATTGCTGAATAGTATTCTGCTGTGTATATATGCCATACCTTCTTTATCCAATCATCATTTTTGGGTATTTGGGTTGTTTCCTTATCTTACCTATTATAAAAAGTGCTGCAATAAACATAGGGATGCAAGTATCCTTTTGAATTAATATTTTTTGTCTTTTGGGTAAATTCCTAGGAGTGGCCATTTTCAGTAGTTTGAGGAACCTCCACACAGCTTTCCTTATTGGTTGGACCAGTTTGCATTCCCACCAGCAGTGTAGGAGAGTTCCTTTTTCTCCATATCCTTACCAACATTTGTTGTTTCCTGTTTTGTTTTGTTTTTTTAGTATGTATGATTCTCCCTGCTGTAAGGTGGTATTTCATTGTGGTTTTGATTTGCATTTCCCTGATTATAAGGGATGTTGAACATTTTTTCATATACCTGTTGGCCTTTTGCATCTCCTCTTTGGAGGTGTGTCTTTTTAACCCATTTTTTGACTGGATTGTTTGCTTAAAAAGCAAATTATTAAACCACTAATTCCTAAACAAGTTATTCACCACAAAAAAATTGCTATTTCTTACTATCTTTTTGTTTTAAGTCCTGCCATAGAATTACTATAGTACTTTGAGGGGGAATATTCTTAAGACCAAATTTCTTTTTTTGGAAACTTACAAGAAAAAGGTCAAAATCCAAGACTTGTCTATGAAATAATGAAAAAAATAATCAATAATAAGAGTTCAGAACAGGTAAAAAGACAATTTTTAAGCAAATATGTATTTTTTAAATTTACTTATACAAGAGCTGGGGTACAGGCTGGGGTATGGGCCAGAGGCATGGGAGGGTAAGAGAATTCACTGGTGACAGAGTGGCAACAGAACAGGCAGATGACCAAAAACAATGCTAAGGGGAGCAGTGGGCAAGACAGGAGATAACTGCCTTTCCATGTGGGTATCTCCCTGGCCGGCCTGGAATCGAACCCATGCTGCAGAGGCTGAGGACAGCTTCACAGTGCTGTGCTCAACCCGCTGTGCCACTGGGGAGGCCCCAAATATGTATTTTAAATTCTATTTTTAGAAGTTTATGCTAATACAGTAATAATGAATATCTTTGGGTCATAGACTTATGAGTGCTTCTTGTTCTCATGCTATTGTGTTTTAGTCATAATCATGTATTGCTTTAATATTAGAGGAAAAATAGAAGGCAGTATGATCTCAAGAACTTGTGAGCCAGTAAGGCCAACAGCTGTCAAATCAGTGTACTGCTTATACTGAGCTTTGGCTAGCATACTTTTTACTGGTAAGATGAAATTTCTTTCAATATGAAAAATAGCAGAGTTGAGAATATTCTCTCAAATTGAACTTGGTCCCAGATCTGGGTTTGGGCTTAACAATCTGGGGCTTCCTGAATGTGGACAACAGCCACTGTCCCCACAAAGTCATAAAGCAAGGTTCACCTGCAGGGGGCTATGCAAGACAGACAGTGGGTCCTAGCAGTGAATCAGCCCACTTGTGTTTTCCTTGGGCTGGTAGATTTAGAATAAAAACCTAGAATTCTGGCTTCTAAGAAATCCGCAAATATTTGGTGTGCATTCCTATATGGACACCAACTACTGGAAAGGAGTTGTAACCTCCATTGTCTATTATTTCCCTAACATAAGCCTAGAGTTGTGATTGCAATTCATCATAACCCTGCTTTGAATAGAAAGCCAGGTCTTGAGTCTGAAGAAAGGAGAGTTTTCTTGAGGGAGAGATGAGTTCACATAGCTGTGTCTAAGTACAAAGACTATATGACATGCAGTCCCATCGCAGCCAAAATTCAGAGAGTTGGGAATGTTGGGTGACTAGCACTAAGGAATATGACATAAACCTCTAGGGCCCCTTCATTTATTGATCCCACAGAAGCAGTTTGAATCAGTCCACCTTAAGGTGAACTTTAGCGAGGAATGACTTATAAATATTCACATGACACCCTTATGTTTGCAGCCAAGGAATCACTGAACCTCAAGGAGGTGAACTCTGTTTAGTAAGAGTTGCCCTTTGGCAACTGTCTTGTGAGCTTCTGACCCAGAGAATAAACAGTTCAGAAGAACTGAAGCTTTTGTTTTCTTCCAGAAAGAAAAAAAGTACATTGAAACATAGCTTGGATTCTTCATTGCTCTTTCTCCTCCCACCCTCAAAATGACTTGTAGCATATATGCTTTTTAGACAAAGCATGCTTTGAATGTATTGACAATTTAATGTTTTCTTTTAAAACTCCACCATTCCTACACAGACATTCCCCACGTAGTAAGTTCCTAAGAATTTAAAATTAGAATATCAAATAACCAAGTATGACTTCTGAAAACTCTCAGGACTTCTCATTGCTAAGTCAGTGCCGTTGACTGGTTTGTATTTTCCTGAGGGAATGCATGGTACTGTTCCCTGAAAGATTTTGGTGGGTGTACAGAGATTTTCAAATAGACATCTTATTCTTTCAGGAGAATTTTACCCTCTGAAAAGTCACATCTACTGTCATCAAGATTTATGCTGCTTTTTATTTTTAAAGTACCTTCATATGATTTGTCTTTCTAGAGAGAGAAAGGTTAATTATTAAAAAATTTCTTACAGAAATAGAAGTATATTTTCCAAAAATGTGACTTGATGCTGGGAGTAGTCAGTTTCATTGGGCATTTATGTTATTCAATCAAGGAGAGGTGATGAGGAATATTTCTATATATTAATTAAATAGAAGACACAGATAACTGAAATTCCATGTGTTGGGGCATATAAATGCCAGAAAAGCTCTCTATTGTTATTATGACTTGAAGTTATTTTATTCATATGAAGGAATCAAAAAGCTTTTATGTGGGTCTCTATGTTTTAAAAATATAGTCTATTAAAAAGGAGAAATGAAAAATACACTTAAAATTTTCTTCTTATAAAGATTGTCTCCTCTAAAAATACACAATCCACAATATATTTATTTGATTTCTCCAAGTTAAGACCCATGGAAGACTTGGTCTCGGGTCTCAGAGAGTATAGCTACATAGCCCAACTTGATTGGTCATCTTGTAATACATGAAAATCATTGATCATAGATATATGCTGGTTTGGTATAAGTCTAAACCCTTTGGGTTAAGAGTAGGAATGAAGACAGACTCAACAAAAAGGAGAGTAAATTCCACTGTCCTTTTGAGAGAATGGAATGCAATCACTGTGAGTGCCAGGAAGCAACCCCCCCAAGTCCTCATCTAGCATCCTGGCTCCCCACAGACTGGCTGTTCCCAGATTCTCCTTCTTCAGGGCCAGTCCCTCTGTGTAAGACATCTGGCATGCTAGCTTCCTCCAGAGAAAAGCAATTCCATTCATTCCAGGCAGCAGGAGTTTTCATTACTTCTTTTCATCGACATATGCCTTCTCCCCTTCGTCTTAGAATCACTGAGGGGCTATGCAAAGAATAAAGAAATACTTGCAGATCATGGAAAGCATGTTACCCCATTTTAGAGACTGGAAAACTGAGCCATGAAGACTTAAACAATAAAAAGACGATTTTCTCAAGTATAGCAGAAGCCAGAAGACATAAGTCATGACTTATATGACTGTGATTCTAAAGAAGCAATCTGATTAAATCACAATTCATAGGCACTTTTTTTTTTTTTTGGCGTCTTCAAAATCAGTCCTGCAATTAAAACATAATTATGCTTTGCTCTTTCATAGTAGCTTTCACCCAGGGAACGGAAAATGCTTTATAAACATTAATTAAGCAGCACAACACCCCTGTGAGGAAGGTAGGAATTATCCTGTTCTTAGATGTGGTGACATGGAAACTGAAGAATTTAGTAATTTATCCACGATTATCATGGGAATTGTTGTCCAGGGTTCCATATGGTTGAAGTCTCTTGGTGGTCTAGCCTTCAATCTCTGAAATGAATTAATAGTCTTTTGTGAAAAGTATGTTCAATGGCTGTTATTAGCATTTTTATTAGTCTGTGCTTTTGTATATCCTTTTCATTATGTATCTCTTAAATTTTAAGTCAGAGCTTAGATTATACAGTACTTTTTAATATTTATTGATTTATGTTTTCATTGATTTCAGTAATCTAATAAGATTAGAAGTCATTTTAGGTATTTCCTTTATTTATTTTTTTAGATATTTATTTACCTATGCATACAAGAACTGGGGCACATTCCAGAGATGTGGGGGGGGGCGAGAGGACCCACCCAGAGTGGGGAACAGAACAGGCAGATTGACTGAAGTACACTGCTGAGGGGAGCAGCGGGCGAGACAGGAGAGGTCTGCTGCACCATGTGGGCCGCTTCCTGGCCGGCCAGGGATCGAACTCGTGCTGCAGTGGCTGCGGACAGCCCCACTGGCCGCATCCCAAACTGTTGTACTGCCAGTTTCTGTATTTTAGGAAACTTTTTATAAAGCTACATTATGGTGATGCAAGATAGAGATATGTGTACAAATGATTAATATAAGATTTGATGAATTTTTACATTCCAGTACATTCCTCTAGGTGCATTCATAGCACCCAGAACCCCTTTGCCAGTGACCCATTGCCAGTAATTGTCCTCCCAAAGGTAACCAATAGCAGCACTCTGACAGCACAGGTTAGTTTTGCCTATTTCTGCCTGGTAGTTAGATGGAGTCATACTGTCAATACTCTTGTATGTCTGTCTGCTTTCATTAAGCATTTGTGGGGTTTCTCCACATAGTTGCCAGAAGTTATAGTAAATTCATTCTCATTGCTGTATTCAGTTATTTAAATACCACACAATTGCTTTATTTATTCTACTGTTGAAGAACAAGTGAGTTGTTTACAGTTTGGGGCTATGTATTTTCATTTGTCTATTTTTAAATATTTATTTTACTTTTGCATGGAAAAGCTGGGGTGCAGGCCAGAGGTGTGAGGAGGAGGGGGGAGAGGATTTACCAGAGACATAGTGGGGAAAAGAACAGGCAGACTGACTGAAATACACTGCTGAGGGGAGCAGTGGCAGCGGGTGAGACAGAGAGGTCGGCTGTGCCATGTGGGTCAGCTCCCTGGCCGGGGATCGAACTCATGCTGCAGTGGTTGGCAAAAGCTTGATAGTGCTGAGACTTAACCCCTGCACCACCAGGGAGACCATAATATTATTTTTAAAGGTGTGTTATAAGCACTCTTTTTCAGTTATGTTGAAGTGGGTCAAAGATACCCTTTTTCCTTTGGGAACTCAGTGAATGACTTATGTTAGATATTTTCTGGCCCAGTATGACTGTAAACCTAGCAAATTGTAATCTGGCTGACCTGATTTATGAAATCATGCTTTACTATGTAGGCTTTGAGATAAATGAATGATGTGTAATAAAATGTTATTTGTATAAGAAGGAATTAAGAAACTTAACCCGGTCACTATAATTGTGGGGGCAGGAACAATTAAATTTTTTCTCTAAACTTGAAAATGTCATCTGCATTTATTAGTGGCTTGAGTTCATAAGAGGCATCTTAGAGAAGTGCAAAGAGCACAGGTAACTGATAGCCCTGGGTGTGTGGTTAAGTAGCTCTACCACTTATTAACTATGTGGCCTTGGCCAGCTTAGCCTCATTCACCTCCACTTTCTTAACAATCAAATGGTCTCTAGGGTTGATATGAAGTTAAATGCAAAACACTAAATGGGAACTCAGTGAATGGCTTATGTTATTAGATATTTTCTGGCCCAATATGACTGTAAACCTAGCAAATTGTAAACTGTTTGACCTGGGTTATAATTTTCAATTATTAAGCATACTTATTTGAAAAAGTCAGTAAGTGACTACACATGAGTATAGAAACATCTATATTCAAATAGACTGCCAGCACTAAAGGGACCACTAACTTTAAGGATTTCTTTTTTGAGGTAACTTATGATGAATGTACAGTGGTCAATTAATTTAACTCTGACCCCCCTGTAAGAGTATATCATAGACATAATAAAAGAGCAGATCAAAAATTATAGACATGTTCTGTAAACAGCTTGATTTAATATATTGCTTACATTAGAGAATTATTGGCTTTAAGCTTGGAATTCTGTAAAAGTAGAAGTTTAGGCAGAAAATTGCTGTGGGACTTTGCATTTGTGGTGCTATATTAAGAAGCCTCACGTTAAATGATATTTCAGAAATGATAATAGTTGAAATGAACTGTATGGAAGGAGTGAATATTTTTCTGCCTGACTCCTATGTGTACCTGGTTGCCAATTAAATACACTTCACATATTCTTCAATTTCCAATGGAGCATCACTTATCTGAGTTCATGATTCCTTGTCACTACCTTGTCCTGTTCTACCTCTTCCCACTTCTGGAAATGGTACTCAGTTGTTCAGATCAGAGTCTGAGAGTTCTTGCCAATTCATTCTGCCCACACCCAATCAATCCAACAACTCCTGCCAATTTTACCTCCTAAATTGTGAATCTACCCACTTCTTTTCCATCACCACTACCATAGTCCAGTCTGCCAAGATCTTCCACCTGGATCACTTCAGGAATCTCAACCTGACCTCCCAGGATTCATTTTGCTCTTTCACATTTCTATCCCTGTGTAGCTACTAGAAGTGATCTGGAAACAGCAAACCATATCAGCTTTGTCTTCTGCTTTTAACCCTTCATGGTTTCAAACTGAATTTAAGGTGGAAAAAAAGTCCTTAATTTTGTCTAAAAAATGGCCCTTCTCTCCTTTCCCCTGCCCTTGACTTTCTTTCTCTCCTTTAAGGCTGTGTGTCCTTTCTTCCCATGCTTTTCTCTGTACTCTCTCTTTCCCTAGCAAACTCCTGCTAATTTTTTGGGTCTCAGATTTAACATATTTCTTTAGGGAAATATTCCATGATTCCATACATTAAATTATTTTGTTCTATTGTATATAGTCATAGAATCTTTTGTTTGTATTTGTAATACTGTTCATACTTAGCTTTTACATTCCCTACTGGTCTATGAGCTTTATGAGAGTAGGGATTCTGTCTACTTTATGTATTTATCTCTATTGCTAAGTGCCTAATAAATGTTACTGACTGATTGAGTCATATATTATTATAGACTAGGTTAACATTGCCAAAGGAAACACTGAACAATTTTTTATCTCTTCAGTAAAGTTGAAATGATATTTTTAAACAGTGATGGAAATTATCAGTATTGTTAGTAAACTAAAAGTTAGTAAACTAAAGTTAGTAAAACTCTTCACAAGGGATTATAAAGGTTTTATACTGATTTTGACCATTTTTCTTGATCTTATTATCAGTAAATAAGATTTAACTTCACAATATAAATGATGATGACAAAATCCAATGTATTGATATGTGGTCTAATATCTCAGCATAACATGCAGCAGAAAAATGTACCAAAAAGATTTCCCTTTCCAGTCTCCTTATTCTAACCTCTTATGTATTTTCTTTATATATTAGTATCTGCGACAAGGCCATTCGCAAATTCAGAAATGATTCCTCTTTCTCTCCTCTGCTACCTCAATCAAGTGCAGTGTTCGTTTCTCAGAGGAGAGTATGGGAACCCTTTCACTTAGAATCACCTAGGGATTTTAACAAGTACAGATTCTTACTCCTGTGAAATACTATTTTTAAGGAGTCAAATGTTTGAAAACTATCAGCTGAGGACCTAGTCATTACACCTTAGGAACTGATAAAAGGCATATATGATGCTAACTTTTGGGAACTGTGATGTGTGTATGACCTTCATTGGTAAGACCCTGTGTCAACTTAAACCTTGAAATAAGATCCTGGTGTAATAGGATCTTAAAAGATCATCTAGTTTTGTGCTTCAGGGGTATTTATACCCAAACCACAGAGGACTATGGATGGTCTCTTTTCTTCCTGAAAAGATGTTTAAGGATAGAGGACCCATTAATATACCTGGGGTTTATCACAGAGAGTTATCTTAGTGATCTTTTAATGATAAAACCTTTAGGCTTACCTGGGTCAGTTTCTTCTTGTTTGGCATTATGTAAACAAGGAAAACAACTAACCTAGTCACCTTCTTAAAATACTTCCATATGGACATTCCATCATTGTAGGGTAAATGATTGTCAGGCTTTTCTGCCCTCCCGCCATTAGGATTGATAATGGATCCCTGCGGTCCTGAATGCATGCCTGCTGGTGGGCACTTGGAGTAGGGTGTGGGCATATTTATGTAGGTGGGATTCATCTGGGCTGAGACAGAGCTTATAAGGGTGGTGTCACAGGATGCCAGAAGAGGGGCAGAACCACCAGAAGGAGAACAAGTAGAGAAAAAAAACTACCAGAAGGGGAACAAGCGAGAGAGCAAAATGGAACCAGCAGAAGAAAGAGAATGAGACCATGAGAGAATGCCAGGAAGCCCAGGAAGAGTGAAGATTCGCTGGCAGGCCTCCCAGCACCCCCTGGTACCCCTGCCTGCATGTACCTAGTACTCAATAAAAGCCTGAAAAAGCCACTGAGGGCTCCAGGACTCTCCTTTACCTGTCTGCTAGGGTCATAGAGAGAGATCCTGCACTGTGCCCTTCCTTCCTCTACAGTCATTCATCAGGTCTAATACTGAGCAGGACCCCAAACACAGGCTCATTAAATTGGAAGCAGTCTTCAATACTATTTAAGTTGAATTTCCTCATTTTACAGACAAGTAAACAAGTGCAGGGATTATATATCATTCAGTCATAAATCTCACGGATGTATGAGTATATTTCAACAGCTCGAATTGACTTTTATCATGGGTTATGTTTTTCCATGGTGAAATTAGAAAGCATTTGATCCATCTAAACTCAGATCTGGTTCAAATTCTTCTCTATTACTTACCACCTGTGTAATGTAAGCACAGTTTCACATACCTGAGCCACATTTTCATCATGAAGATAAAAACCTATATGAAGATAAAAACACACACATATAAAGGAAAATGAAGATAAAAATCTATTTTGTATAGTTGTACTGAGAATTAAATTGAAATAGCATAGTGCCCAGCACATACTAGGTGCTCAGCTTACAAGTTCTTGTGTTGGTAAAATTTTTTGAAATTGGCAGAGAATCACAACACAAGATATGAATCCCCTGTGATTTGGCAATTACAGTCATTGTAGTGAAATCATGTAGCATATATGATGTTTAGAAACCTCTTGTATGGGGTTTTACTCAGTGGATCTGAGATTATTTTGTTAAACAGGAATGCATAGTAAAATCTTGATGCAACCCAAATATTGTCGAACAGTGATGCTTTCTTCTACAACCCTCTAGAAGAACTTAGCTGCACCTACTTTAGTCATAACAAAAAGAAAAAATCCTGACTATATGATTTAATAGTTTTGAAGGGGAACCGCTGAGTAAATAAATCTTTCCAGCTCCCTGCTAAAGGGTGTTGGGCCTGGTGCAGTTAAGAATCCAATGCAATTGTAATCAACAAGTTTGCTCACTTAACAAATCTTTCCTTAGCAGACTAACAAAGATACAAGGTCAGGCAGTCAGCCAAGTTGGTCTGTCTTTTCAAGGCCATCCCGAGATGTCTGTGTTCTTGCTTTTTCCTAGCCCCTTGTTTAGGAACTTTGCAGCAAATGATGTTGTTAATGTAAGGATAGTTATGTATAAAAGAAATTCTTTGTCTGTAAATAGGTGCTCAGACCTTATGGGGCTACCCAGGTCTGGGACGTCATGCATGAGTACTAAATCTTCTCCTGACCTCACCATTCCTGAAGTAACGCTTGTTCTTCCTCTGGCTGGGTAAAAAGTAGAACTTATTTATACAACATTTTAATGTATCTTGTATGCCAACTGTAGGGTCAGGAATGGGCCACTGATCAGGTTTTCTGATCCAGCAGACTGGGTAAAGGAGTCAGAATCCTCAGTGGTTTTGCAGGTTTTTATTGGGATTACCAGGTACATGGCAGGCAGGGGTGCTGGGGGGCCAATAGGCTGGCAGGCCTCCCAGCCCCCAGCAGGTCTTCACTCGGGGCTCCCTGGCCTTCTCTTAGCTTCTGCTTCTCTTGCTTCTCTCTCAGCTTCTCTTTCAGCTTCTTCTGGCGTCCCCGTGACACCGCCCTTAAAAGCCCAGTCTTAGCCCAGGTGAATCCCATCTTCCTATGCCCACACCCTATTCCAGGTGCCCGCCATCAGGCATGCATTCAGGACCGCAAGGATCCATCATCCATCCTGATGGCGGGAGGGCAGAAAAGCCTGACATTTTTCCTTATCCTACAGTCCACCCCCACAGCGTTTTCTGCCATACAGTCCATATATACAATTTTGTTTCTTAGCAAACAAACAATGCAGCCATGGCCCACAAAAGCAAATATATCACAATATAACAACAAAATACAACAGAACACAAATAAGTCCAGGCAGGGCCCCAACCTAATGGCAAAAGACAATTATTGGTACCAGCAGATAAGCCACCAAATCTGCTGCCAAAGGCACTGCTCATACGAGGGAGGGGAATCACTCAGGGCATCTACTGCAACACGCCAGGAGCCATCAGGCTTCCTGGCCTCCTCTGGCTGTAGTCTCGACTACAAGCCACACACCGCATCCACCCCCAGGATGCACTCACTCTGGGATTGGCGATTCTATTCTGTTGGGGGTAATCGCCCAACCCTCAGGGTTTCTGTCTGCAGTTGCTCCAACATTCGGCCTTCATAGCCACCCATGCGACTCGCAGACCCCTGCACTCAGGCCAACCCACTGCACAAGCACATGGGTCAGGGATCCAAACTCTACATTCAGCTTGGGCTCCACCCCAAGCCACGTTCCCCACCCGTCCCCCAAGGACGGGTTCCGCAGCTCCTCACCATCACTCGACAACGAGCAGGGCATCACCCACAGGTGATTTTATGAGACTCACTGGCCTTCCTCAGCTTACTTAGTGCTTAGCAGCCACTCAGGGCTTCCCAAACTTAGCATCAGCACCAGCTTTTGCCTTCTCAGTTGGCTTTTCTCCCTGCCTAGCTGCTGGGCATACACAGGCTGCTTTTGGCCATCAATGCCCACTGGCCACCCCCAGATTCCCATCTCCTGGGATGTACAATCCTCCCCCAGGGTTCCAAAACTACATTAACTTGCCAAAGTTCCTCCACCTTCTGGCGGGATTGTCAGTCCAAGTCCATCAGTTCAAGTCCATTAGACCTCTCTCTGCATCAGCACTGGTGAGCTCCGAATCATGGTCCTCTCTTCCCCGACGATTCTTGCTGCCTCAGGGGTCGTTGGCTGGTCCTCTTAGGCAACTCCTCCACACGAGGTCTCATCCTGCAGCTCCTGGACCTTGTCCATCTCCTGTGCCGCCATGACACCTCCAGCGTTGTCACAGGGAAACAGTCTGTTACTCCTTAGTCCCTCCAGATCTTCGGAGGGCTCCATACCCGTCTGCATGGATCATCTTGCCGGCTTATGCCAATTGTAAAGGCAGGAATGGACACTGAGCAGGTTTTCTGATCCAGCAGACCGGGTAAAGGAGGAGTCAGAGTCCTCAGTACTTTTGCAGGTTTTTATTGGGATTACCAGGTATGGCAGGCAGGGGTGCTGGGGGGGCCGGTAGGCTGGCAGGCCTCCCAGCCCCCAGCAGGTCTTCACTCTGGGCTCTCGGGCCTTCTCTCAGCTTCTGCTTCTTTGCGGCTTCTCTTCGGCTTCTGTTTTGGCTTCTGCTGGCGTCCCCGTGACACCGCCCTTAAAAGCCCAGTCTTAGCCCAGGTGAATCCCATCTACCTATGCCCACACCCTACTCCAGGTGCCCGCCATCAGGCATGCATTCAGGACCGCAAGGATCCATCATCTATCCTGATGGCAGGAGGGCAGAAAAGCCTGACATTTTTCCTTACCCTACACCAACCATAAGCTTATTCACTTAATGTAACCCTTTGATGTGGATATAATATATCCATATTTTATAGAGATTAAATAATTTGAATATCTGTAGGGAGTAGTGGAATGACAGGATTAGACAGGGGTTGAATTAGGATTTCAACAGAAGTTGGTTTGATTCCAGAGCCAAGTGCTCTGTAACTCTTTGGAGATTAAGAAAAAATACATCAATGTGAGGGCTCCATTTCCAGACTTTCTGAGCCACAAAGGTGTAAGACAGGCAGGACTAAGAACAACTGTCACAACCATATGCTTCTTGTCTCTCTATGCCCCTTGCACATGGTCTGCTTATTAAAAACGCAATATAATACTATATCCATGATTATCTTAGTCAGTTACGGTGGCCCCGTTTTCACCCATCAAACTCTTCGACAGTGTATTTGCAGCGCCTCTGGGAGTGAGGTCCCCATTTGTAAGCCCTTGATGAAAAAGCCTAATTAGATACAGATGCACTCCAATATTTGTTTTACTTACTAATGGTTGGGTGTAGGTTTCCTTCTTTTCCCTTGTCAAGGAAGCTGAGGTTCTGAGGCTGCCACAGACTACAACATAAATACAAGGAGGAAGGGAGGGAAATCTTGGAAAACTCACAGGCCTGATATTTCCCAGACATGCCCCAATCTGCTTTTGACCTCGCTCCAAAAGGAGTGGTTTCCACAACAGACTGTGTAACATAACGTGAGCTTACTCAAGCAGTTTCACGTTAGCCTTTCCTTTCTTGCAGTCTGGAAGCTCTATTCTTGGGCCCGCCTTAGGGGAGGGACTGCTGACAGAGGGACTGGTGCTGGGACCCTGCAGTCTGACAGCACCTCCTCTCTATATGGCAGCTGTGGTCTCTAGGTGCTGTTTCTCCCCCAGGTTATAGGTGTAGTTTACAAGAGTTCATTAATTATATCCTATTTCGAAGCAGTCCTGCCTGGTTCCTATCAGAGGGCTAGAACAGTGTCTCTTTACATTTGGTGGCAGAAAAGACTGAGAAAGATTTGGGAGGTGAAAGTATCTGCCAAAACAGCACGGAATGCAAGCAGACAATTCAGCTCTTAGCGTTTCCAATCTATTAGGCAAGATTACCTCCCAGTTTGCCATGTGGACTGTTTCATTTTCCTCCATCCTCTGACCCAAGCTTTCCTTCTGAGACTAACAAGAAGGTTAGAAGAAGGGTCAGCTGTCTGGGTGACTTGGCGATGGCTTCCGTTAGAATTGCTTCTTTCTCCATAATGGTAAAATTCAATCTCACAGTTTAAATGCTTGTCCCAAAATATTTCGAAATGTGAAATGCATGCAAGCCAAATGACAAAAATGTTTTTTAAAAAAGCCTAAAACATGGGCTTCTTGTCATCCACCACATTGGCTGTTTCAATGTCTGTTCAGTCAGTAAATTATTCTTTCTGATCTTCCTTTTTGATGATATCCAGATGGTCTAAAAGTCAGTCTTTTCTGTGAGAAGAAATTCTCTGTGAAATTGAAAGTGAGTAGCCATTATGTTCCGATAGTGGGGGAGGAGTTAAATGAAATGACATAGAATTGTCTGTACCTAATTAACAGTAATTGATACTTAAATAATTACAGTGCTTAAGTATTCAATTTAGGGTTGGGCTTAATTATTAATGTTCTTAACCCTTGAAGGAGACTATATCTGTCTGCCTAAATTGTAGGACATTTTGTAGAAGCCAAAATTGCTACTGTTAACTTTCCTTCCTTCCATTCCCCCTCCTCAAATCTTCTTGAATTAAAATCAAAGACTTTCTGTAGTGAAATTACCAAAGGTAGATTCTGAGAGCTTGAAATGTACCATGGCATGAGTTATGATGTTCAGGGTTTATTTTTTTTTAATTAAAAATGGTTGATTAATAATATGCTAATATAATTGTAAGTCACCATCATTTATCAGGCTTTTAAAGAAAATCATAATTTTCTTTTTAAAATGAAAATAGCAATGTTAACATTTATTTACTGTCATTTTGTGCAAAACACTAGTAGATGCTTCCATTGTTATCTCTTTTGGGTTTTCTTTTTTTAATAGAGGCATGTTTTATTTATTTGTTTGTTTGTTTGTTTTGTTTATACAAGCACTGGGTACGGTCAGAAGCACGGGAGGGTGAGAGAATTCACCAGAGTCAGAGCGGGGAGCAGAGCAGGCAGAAGGACCGAAGTACACTGCTGAGGGGAGCAGCGGGCGGCAGGAGAGGTCTGCGCGCCATGAGGGACCCTCCTCTGGTGGCCGGGGAGCAGCTGGGGATCGAACCGGCGCCGCAGATGCTGCGGGCAGCTTCGCAACCCAGCGCTCAACTGCTGCGCCACCGGGGAGGCCCTGGGTGTTTTTTTTTTTTTTAGAACACAGAAAGTAGACATAATTAGCCATATTTTATACATGTAGAAATAAAGCTTTGAAGAATGTAAGTAATTTTCCCAAATTGTAAAGGTTGTTATGTGTTGTGCAAGCAACACACCAGTGATAAAGAAAGGAAATGGGAGTTGTGGAGCAGGCTGTAGAATGCAGGATGCTGCTCAAGAGCAAGATCTTAGCCTTTTTATTGACAGAGAAAAGGGTGGGTCAAACGGAACATTGGATTTAGGGCTTTAGGGAGAGGGAGTTCGCTGATATACTCCTGACTCCCACTCATGGCTGCAATCTCATTCACAAGGTATTCCGCTGATCAGTTCTTTCGGCGCAAAGTCCATCAGTCAGTGGGTCCCCTGGGTGTTCCCAGTCATAGCTCGGGATGTGTACCTATTGCCCAGGGCCATCAAGGTTCCTGCTCTTGTCTAACTTGAACGGAACCCTGTATGCTACATCCACAGTTATGGGTAGTAACACAGGCACTTTCCACTTTTTTTTAATATTGCTATTAGTATTTTTTTAGTTTTATATATATGTATTTTTTTAATATATATTTTATATCACTCTTCTTTGTGTGTGTGTTTTGCAACCATCCCAGGCCAAGTAGATTCACTGTCAGTTCTAGTGATTTGAAGGAGAATTTTGGAGCCCTTGGCATCATTTTCACAGGTTTTAATGGTAAGCAGGGGAAATAAGCCAGCAGGGAGACAGCAACCAGAGCCCCCTGTGAATCTCTACATGCTCTTTTCTCTGGACTTTCTCTGGTGTCTCTTGTGGTCTCTTTCTCTTGCAACTTTCACTGGTCCTCGCGTAGCCATACATGGTCTCTCAGTAATGCTGCCCTTATATTCCTGACCTCTAGGCTCAGGTGTGCACAATTGCACATGCACATGTGTGTGCACACAGACACACACACACCATGATCAGGTGTCCATAGTTAGGCATGCATGCCCCACACCACTGCACCCTCTTCCTTAACAAGATCATGGCCGCAGGAGATAGCCACAGAGGCTGATGGCATAAAATCCTGACCAACTTCATTTATTCTACAGTGTGCTATTTTTAACCCCAGCTTACTGAATGATCTCAGTGTGCCTTGTATCTCCCCATTCCCCCAACTTGTGCAATCAGTTACCATGGTACAAAGGTGTTATATACTGTTGGGGTACAGTCTGTGCTTTGCTAACAAGCTGCCTGGGTTTAAGTCCTATATCCTTGACTGGGTAGCTATATAGCTTCAAGCAGGTAACTTACATCTCAGTGCCTTAATTTCATCATCAAAATTTCAAAATTAAACATGGTAGAGAGGCTAGGATCATCTTCTCCCTTACAAACAACTATTAAAAAAACATCTACTCAAAGGGAAACTCAGAAGTTCCCCAATAGAGTCCCAGGACTTTCCCTCAGAGAGCTCAAACTAAAGTTGGTGGCTGTTGAGGGGAAGGTGTGGGAGGAAGTGAAGGGAAATGTGACTGGGAGAGTAGATGCCCCCACTAGCAGAATGGAAAGGATTGGTTATCCATGGCATGATGGGGCATTCCAGGGCACTGTGGATTTCCCTGGAGGAACTTAGCTCACAAGTGGGCCTAGGTCAGGATAGAGACATTGGGAACTCCACAACTGGCATGGACATGGAAAGCTATCCATGGCTATCACCACCTTCCACCCCTGGAAGAGATTGAAGAGATGCCAGGCTGGGCTCCACTGAGATCATCCCAACAGAAGACTAGTAAGATAATCCATTAGTCTCTCGTGTATCAAGCAGGTACACAGAATTTGTAGTCTCAGTCCCTCAGAAACAGGATGGCAGTGGTGGTGGGGGGTGGTGACACTCCTGGCCTACAGCTATAGCCAGACAGTGGGGCACACATCCTGCTCAGGCTCCTCCTGTCTGCTAAGCCCAGCTGAGTCCCAGGGTGTAAATCATGTGGACCAGAGCTAGCTCCTTTCACTATGACGTTTGAATGCAAACTTCATGGATTACAATCTGTGGCAGAAAGGAACAGGAGGGAGGAGAGAGGGGGAGTTAAAACAGCTGAAGTACAGAACAGAGATTGCTGTGGAGAGAAAGGAGAGGAGGCAGAGGTGACCATCTTCACTTCTCAAACTGAGATGAATTATTTAAGCCCCAGACACTCATCCAGCCTTGACCTCACCCCAAGGTAAACTACAAAGAGAAAACTAAACCTGCAGTGCCTTGACCACAAAAAAAGCAAATAAGGCAACACATTTGCTTAGGAAGCAAGAAACATCTGAGCACAAGATGGGCAAGAAATGTGAGGAGAACAGCAGTGCTGGGACAAAAATAAAGAATATAGAAATAGAGGACCTATCAGACAAAGCATTCAAAACAACGATATTAAAATTGCTAAATGAATACTGGAAGGTCAGTCAAAGGCAGATAGGCAAGTACAAAATATTAGAAGGAGATTCAGGAACAGAGTTCTCCACCAAAGAGATGAAAAATATTAAAAGAACACAAAAAGAGACTGAATGAAATGTAGATAAAAATAGAAAGCACTTTAAATAGAATTAAACTGGCAGAAGAAAGAATTTCAGAAATAGAAGACTCAACTGTATGAATCAACCAGTCGGAAGAAGAGAAATAAGATATAAGAAAGCTGAGGAAACTCTGTAAGAAATATCAAACTCAATTGGAAGAGGAAACGTAAGGATAATGGGTATTCTGGAAGGTGAAGAGAGTGAGAAGAGAGCAGAATCCCTATTCAAAGAAGTAACTGAAACTTTCCCAAACTTAAGAAATGAATTAATTAAGAATGTCCAAGAGGCAGATGTGGCACCCAAATTTCTAATTGTAAAATGACCCATATCAAGACACATTATTATTAAAGTATTAAAAACAAAACCTAAAGATAAATTTTACAGGAAGCAAGGAAAAGGAAAATAATTTACAAAGACACCTAAATTAGGCTTTCCTTGGGTTTCACTTCAGACACTCTCCAGATAAGAGTCTGAAAAGACAGGAACTGCCAGTAAAAAATACTCTAGCCTTCAAAGTTATCCTTCAAGTATGAAGGTGAAATCAAGACTTTCCCAGACAAACAGAAGCTAGTGGAATTTCTCAGGGTCAAATAAACAATTTAACTGTAGCTGAAGGAAATAGAAAAAGAACAAATCTCCCAAAAATCAGTAAAAGGAAAGAAATAATAAAAATTAGAACAGAAATAAATGTTATAGAAAACAAAAAGACAATCCAAAAGATCAGTGAAACCAAGAGGTGTTTCTTTGAGAAAATGAACAAAATGACAAGCCCTTAGTTAGGTTTATGAAGAAAAATGAAATTATCAGATGCTGCAGACATACATAGGATCAGAAGTGCCTACCAGGAACATCTCCTGGCACACAAACTGGACAACCTAGAAAACTGGACAAATGTTTAGATTCACACAGTCTTACTAGACTGAATCAGGATTAAGTAGACAGCTTAAAAAGTCTAATCACAGGGCCTCCCCGGTGGCGCAGCGGTAGAGCGCTGGGTTGCGAAGCTGCCCGCAGCCTCTGCGGCGCCGGTTCGATTCCCGGCTGCTCCCCGGCCACCGGAGGAGGGTCCCACATGGTGCGCAGACCTCTCCTGCCACCCGCTGCTCCCCTCAGCAGTGTACTTCGGTCCTTCTGCCTGTTCTGCTCCCCGCTCTGGCTCTGGTGAATTCTCTCACCCTCCCGCGCTTCTGACTGTACCCAGTGCATGTATAAACAAAAACAAATGAACAAACAAATAAATAAATAAATAAAACATGCCTCTATTAAAAAAAAAAAAAAAAAGTCTAATCACAGTGCTGAA